GTTGAAGTCCATACAGCTTAAAGTTGCCACGGTTGAGAAACACTGAACTAGAGTAATTTTAGTCACAGAGTGGAGCTGGTTAACCTGCAGTTAGCACTTATTAGGGAAGTGCAGCACCATGGAGAAAAGCTGCTGAGGAAGAGATACATGCTGTACTGAAAAAGCCAAACAATATTTGATTTTAAAGTCTATGCCTGCCAGCCAGAGGACATGAGGACAAAAAGGAGGACATGCCCTCCTTTTGCCAGATGTCCGGTAACCCTACTCAGACCAGAGCAAAATCTGGCATGCTCTTGATTCAGCAAAAGTATCAGAAGAAATTCAGGTTATAAATTTTGATTTGCAACAGTATCCTTTGGATTTACTTCATGCTTTATTCTTCAACTTTACAACATCCTCCAGGTTTCTGCTTGTTTTCCTTCCGCAAACACATTTACATTTGATTTTTATATATGTCCTGATCGTATCCATGTTGCAAGGAGTTATTGCCACATCATTGGGCTGGCCCTGAAGCTGCCTTGAGTGCATTGGCAGAAAAGCAGCAGAAGAACTGGTAAAAAAATACAGATTTTAAGGGCGCTGATTTCTGTATAGGGCATCTCCTTCTATGTTTGCATACTGGTGCTCAGATCCAACATGTGCATTGCATAGAGGATGGGGCTGGGTAGATGTGACCTGGTGAGTGCACCTCTGTTGCATCTCACAAAAGTTCAGCAGGGAGAAGGAAGTAAGGTGGACATTTAATCCAGTCCTGAATCAGGACTCTTGGACCTTTTTCAGTGGAGGTATACATGGAGGACCATTTCTGAATCTGGATGAATGGCTAGGAAGACAGAGAATGGCATACATGCTCCAGAGTGATGTTTGAGGTTTCCTGGGAACAGAGACCATATCCATTGGCTTACTGAGGCAGGAAAGGAGAATATAAAATCTCTTTCACTTGCAAATGTATCTCAGTCAGTGTGGTCAAGTGGTTAGAGCATTAGACTATGTAATGGTATGTGGGAATGACCTTGGGAGACAGGAGGAAGAGCTGCAGACTAGGCCATGGTCAGATAAGAGGCAGCTGAGCCCACAGAAGCAATGAGGATGTGGCAAACATCTCAGAAGAGACCCTCCCTAGTTTCTTGGACTGTAAAGGTGAAGGGGGAGAGATATCCTTTCAGACTTACAAGATTCTGTTAATGTAACCTTACAATAAAGTTAGTGTTAGTATTCATGGTTGGTGCTTGTTGTCTGGACTACCTTGCAAGGTTGACATACTAGAACCTGAAAGAGCTGGGCTCAAATCTCTTCCTTATGCTGAACCCTAACGGAGGTCTCTGAACTAGCCAATGATTGTGTTTTGCCCAACACGTTTAACCTTGTGACCGAGTTTATCCATTTCCTGGGTTTGCACAATATGTTGCATCATAAACTAAAGAAATGGGCTAGATTTACATAACACGTTAAGCTACAAAGGATTAACCAGGTTTGATACTAAACAAACTTCATATGTTCTGCATGTTGAGCCACAACATGTTAATGCACCAGATTGATCATGATCATGTCATGTTCTCATGAACCTCCCTTACAGGGTTGTTGTAATGATAAAATCAGAGGTGGAATATCTTGATCTTGATCTCTTGGAGGAAAGATGGACTATAAAATAAACAAGCAATGTAGACTTCTACATAAATTTCTCCTATGTGGTAAAGCATTTCATCTTTTTGAAATGCTGGTTTGTCCAGTTTTGAGTATGCTAATCAGGGTTTCTTCTTTATCCTTCTCACAGATGTTTCCTTCCACTAATGTAACATGCTAGGAGTGGGAAACAAGAAATGTATTAAAATGCACTGAAATCACTAAAGCAAGCATCAACTGCTTGTTAACAGGCATTATAATATCGTGTGACATTTGCAACTTCCAAATTTTTCAGCTAGAAAATCTTCCCCATTTCTACTCAATATATTCCAGGTGTCTCTTTACTGTTGAACTTACTTAGGATGAAGATGTGTTGAAGACTTTGAAAATGGGCCTTCCTAAATTCATGTTGCTTCTTCTTCGCAAGTTCTTGGGTCACTTGGCATCTGTCGCAAAGCCCAGCTCGTAACCTTCAAAGTAATAAAAATAGTGGTGTGACATTTTTAGAGCAGCAAAACTGATTGGGAGCATCCATGCTGAACCAATCCCACTGTCAGCCCTTTGAGGTAGTCCAGACTAGGGAACTGGTCATGAATGCCAATACTACTTTGATCATAAGGTTACAGTAACAGAATCTTGCAAATCTGAATGTGCTTCCTCCCTCCCTCCCTCCCTTTATCTTTGTGAGAACTAGGGAGGGTCTTTTCTGAGATGCTTTCTCAAATTACATTTCTGCTTCGGACTCCAATTTCTTTTATCTGACTATTGTCTTGGTAGTGGCTCTTCCTCCTGTTCCTCAAGGTTATTCCTTCTGCCCATTACACCCACCTTTTTGCTCAGATTTTTCAGAGTCATCATTTATTTAGCCCAAATGGATGACACCCATACTTTCACGCAAACAGAAGTATTCGCAAGGAGGGAGAGGGAACAGAATGAAGACATTGATGGGTAGGACTCCTCACTATGACATTTTCTTGAAGATTCCCCACTCCCCTTTTTAAATCCTGATGTACATTTTCTCATCAGGATGGAATGCCTGAAAATCAAGTTCTACTAAAGTAGAAGTCGTATCATATGGGCACAGTTCTCAATAACTACCCCATATCTCCAATTCCCAGTGGAGATTTGTAATATGTGCATATAATATTGTATTAATTATAATTACTATGTTCAGTTGTATTGATTATAATATTATGTTCATAGATAAATTTATAGATATAACGTGGTAAGTGATATGAATGACTGGGTTCATACAACATGCCAAACCTGGTTACTGAATTAACCTATTTTCTGGGGTTACACAATTCATTGAAGCCTAAACTAACCAACTGGGCTGGATTCATGCAACAGACTAAACCATCAAAAACAAACAAAAAGCAAAGAAAACAAAACGAAAATTGCAAAGTTATCACATTTTGTGAAGTAGCTGCTACACCTTTCAGTGACCATGTTCAGGATGGCCACATAGCTGGTTGGGCAACATTACGTCTAAATATAATGTGTTATAGGAGCTAGATATTATGGCATCTGCAAGAGAGGTAAAAAAAATAAAAATGGTGGTCACAACCAGGCAATCAAACCCCTCCCCTTTTTTTACGTGTCAAAAAGGGGAAGGGGTTCAATTGCATGATGAAGGCCGCCATCTTAACTCTTGTGAGTCATCTCCCATGGACAGAGGAGTCAAAGCAAGGGATCCATCATCATATTTTGCACAGCAAAAACGAGTTCAGATTCCAAGCACATGAAGACCAGGCCCAAATGGCTTGGGAGGATCTCATTTGCAACTAGCAGCTCCTGGCAATCAACAGCTGTGCAGCAAAGTCAGTTATGTCAATGTATCTGCATGCAGGCCATTTAATTTAGTTTCTTTAATCTATTAGGAAATAAACATACACTACACCATGTCCCTACTGAAATGTGGCAACAGTACAGGTAGTCCTCAATTACCAACCACAACTGGGGCTGGCAACTCTGTTGTTAAGTGACACAGTCATTAAGTGAAACGTCATGTGACCACACCCACTTACTATGTCAGTTCCGGCTGCAGTGATTAAGCGAATCATTAAGGACAACATCATGTGACCATGACTTGTGACTTCCTGCCAGCATTCCCATTGACTTTGCTTGTCAGAAGCTGGCTGTGAAGTTTGCAAATGGTGATCAGGTGACTGTGGGACGCTGTGGCCATTGTAAATACACAATAGTTGCCAAGTGTCTGAATCGCGATCATGTGACTATGGAGACACTGTGATGACCACAACTTCAAGGACCAGTTGTAAAACTCCTTTTTCAGCACCTTTGTAACTTTGAATGGTCGCTGAATAAGTGGTTGCAAAGTGAGGACTACCTACATTAAGATTGATGGATATGGTAACTTTTAGTGATATGTGCACCTGTCCTTTCAAGAGGGAAATCAGGAAGGGGTTGTCTTTGTGTCATGGAATCTACTAAGAGCTCATATTGTCCCATGATGTCTGCCTCCATACAGAAAATAGTTAGCAAAATGCCCCCCACTTTAAATAAGAGTTTCTTAGTGAATTTGTGGAGTGGGGCTACCAGAATATCTCAGCCTAATTAATAGGCAAGAATTGGGGAACTGACATCTAAAACAGCTGTAGTTATAAACCTTTTAAATAAATAAATAAAATAACGTATCAGGTCTTGGTCTAATTTGTGTCTTGATGCTCCTACACTTTTTTGGCTGGCTCATTTTTGATGGCCAGTTTGCAGCTGACATATCTTCAGCAGAGCATCTAAAAGAACATTCAAATATAGAGGTGACCCCACAGAGGTGCTAGCTGTGACAGGTGGAGAAATTCTGCTGACTTACTCAGTTTAATGGAAGATTATTTCCTTTCCCAACCTTTGCAAAGAAAAGAGGAATAGGGTGTCTTGGCACTATTTTGTGATGAGGTGGCCAAGGTGCGTGTGTGTGTGTGAACGTCTAATTGTCCAATGCGCAATCATCTATCCAGAAGTCTGCAGCTTTCCTGATTTCTTTTCCGTTCCAAGGAAAAGCATCAGTTGAGACCTTCTAGGTGGCTTCTGCAGCAGCAAGTCAACGGTCATAGTTTCTGTAGAAACTCTTGATCTTGAGACATTGTTGAAGAATTTCTCCTTCTTTTGGAGAAATTCAGAGAAATGAACCTCCCACTTTCTCTGCCCACATTTTTGGTGGGAAATTTTGAAAGGCAATTATGTCCAGTTCTAGCTCTAACCCAAAGCATAATTTAGGGGTAGTCTGGCCCTCAGAATCTTGTCCCAAGATGTGGTCCTACTCCCAGACTGAATTGCTTCAAAATAATCCTATTTTTATGTTTTTCATAGCACTGTTTATAATAAGCTATGTCCAGCTGAATCACACTAATCAAGGATGGATTAAACTTCATATCTCCCTAGATTATGTTCCTATTACCAGTCTCTGCTAAAAAGTCTACTTTGCCCTGTTTCTTTATGGAGCTATACTAAAAAAAGAAAAGAAAACCCTACACAAATCACTCTGAAATTTATACTTGAACATAGCATAGGTTTTCAAATGAGTTTCAGTTTATGTATGTATGTATGTATGTATGTATGTATGTATGTATGTATTTAAAAGATTTATATAGCTGTCCATCTTATGCATCACAGCCTTGGGTGGATTGCAAACAATAATAAAACAATAAAAAGCATAAAACCCACATAAAAACTCCTGGCACCCAAAGACAAGACACCCCTCACATCCCACAGACAATTTTCCTGGGCTCCAGCCAATATACTACCCCATCGCTTTGGGAAAAAGCCAGGTTTTCAAGGTTTTTTGGAAGGTTAGCAGAATAGGGGCCAGCCGGATCTCAAGGGGAAAGGTGTTCCAAAGGACAGGGGCCACTATCAAGAAGGTGCGCTGCCTAGGTCTTGTTAGGTGGCCACATTTGAGGGAAGGGACCTGGAGCACGCCACCCCATTTGGACCCACCCTATACATTTCAGCAGAGGACTGCACAGAACACTGGGGCCCACAGAAGCCAATGGATGATCAAGTTCTGATCCAAACATGAAATGGGAAGGTGCTAATCAGATCTGCTCAGTTTAACTAGCTGGCACCCTCCATATACTTTGGACAATATCTCCCACCCTGAACAGTCAGCACCGTAGGTAGCAAAGCTCTTGAAGAAGGTCTATAAAGGTAATTAAAGAGGTGGGGAGAAGCCAGAAATGCTTCCTGAGTATAGCTCGGGCAAAGAGGGGTGCCTGCAGGAAGTGGGGAGGTTAAAAAAAAGATCAAGATGGTGGCTGGGATTGTGCAATTGTAGCCTTGCCCAATTTTTATGAAAGAAAGGTGGTGGGCCTTCCGTTGTGTGGTTGTGGCCACCATCTTGATTCTTCTGATCTCCCCTTCCTCTGCAGATGTCCCTCGCGACCAGATGAAGCTGTTTACCTGTTTTCCAAGACTTTCACGTTTTCTTTAAGAGCTTTTTGCTGCTCACGTAGTTGGTGGTTTTTGGTGAAGAGCTCTTCAATTCTTTGGTTGTCTCTAATTTCAGGGAGAAGGACAAGGAGGAAGACAGAAAGACTATTATTCCCAAGTCTCCAGATGCATCCTTGGCCTTTGTCTCTCAAACTAAAATAAGTTTGCATGAAGAACTAAAGCAATGGGGGCTGATAGGATATTAAGGCAAGATAAAGTACTTAGGAAATGGAAACTGTTCACCCATCATCCTAAACAAAATATGGTTTCATTCTGGTTTGGCATAGCCACTGTGCTTTGTGAACAGTGGTTTATGGCTTAGCATGAATCAACCAGCCAATTGTGGCTTATTCAATAAACCATGATTCCAAAATCAGCGTGTCCGGATGTTCCACTCTATACATACTTGACAAGGATTCTGATTCCAGCGGCAGCCCCAAACTCTTAAAATGATAGGAATGAATCTTATATTTTACTGCCCCCAAGTTTATCTTATATTTTAATTGATTCTGCATTGTCCTACAGAACTGAAGCCCAAGAACACATGCCCAACAGAATGCCGTTTGTTTAACTCACCGACATTTCTCATTGGTTAGTTCATTCAGTTTGGTTTGCAGGCCTGGAAGATTAAGGGATGTTCAGAAACAATCAGTGATCTTTGTTGCTGGATATAGAACATTGCGATTTCATCAGGTCAGTTAAAGATCTAATGACTGCTATCACAGAACACACTGAATTTGATTAGTGGAAATCATGCCTAGGTTTCTTGTGGCTTAACAAATTGCATGAATCCCAACCTTTTGGTTAGATTATGATTCAATCTATTGAAAATGGGATAATTCAGTAACCAGGTTAAGAATGATAAACTGAATAAATGGCATATAGAGAGGAATTTGTTTGGCCAAATCGCAATCCCCTTTGAAATGGGGCATGGAAACCACTTAAGTTGCTGTCCTCTTTCCCAAAATATGGCTTCCCCAACCATGTTGCTGTCCAAAGGCCAGCAATGCATCGACTTTGACAGCATAGGTGGTATCTGTGATCCCCAATTAAAAATATAGGTAGCTGAAAGATGGTCACATCCTGTGAGATTTCAGGATCCCTTTGTGAGCTTTCAAACTTCTTGTGTGAAATTTCAGGGTTGTGCTTACCAAAAGTCTTATGAGATATTATGATTTTGAGAGATTAGAGTTATTTTTAACTATCAGTGGGGGATGCATCCGGACGATTACATGAAGCACATGATGGTGCATGAAAAGGTTTGCTTTGAAGGTTACCTTGAAAAGGTTGCTCTCATCCTGTAGTCGATAGAAGGATGTGGCTGACTGTGCTGTCTTTGAATGTCTGCCTCCAAAATATGTAGAAATGTATGTGTGTGTATATAGGTATGTATGTGCATGTATGTGTGTGTGGAGGGATGAATGGATAAGATAGAGTCAGTAGATATTAGAGATAGATGATAGAGTAGATATAAATGGAAAGTATTATTATGTATGTAAATATTAAATCAAACCTGCATAACCTAGCAATATTAGAAGTTGGCATGTCAATCTTAACTGGGGAAAACTATTTGCAATTGGCAATTCAAATGGTAGCTGAGTGAAGCCGCATTCACAAAGGGCTAACTCTACAAAATCAGCAAACCTTCTACTCTTCATCAACTTTTCCACCTGATTATTACATTTTAAACATCTGTGCATCAATCTATCCATCCAGTTAATCAGCAAACACAGTAGCCCTATTTTACACAAGCATACACACACACATGGAGCATTTCTTCTTACCTTGAACTTCTTTCTCGTGTGTTTCCTTGAGTTTGTTCAAGATTTCGGCAAAATTTTCTGTAGACATGTTCCCTGTATCGTCACATGGATGGGCCCAAGGTGGGGAGAAAGAAATCAGATCAGATGGTTTCAGATCAGTTTTCTGCCAGTGTTCAGCTTGTAGTCTAAGAGGGAAGAATTACAGATGATGCAAAACAAACACTAAGAAACCCAAGTCTATCAGAAGACAACCCAACTTCATCAAGTACTCCATTACCAAAGTAACAACCCAGCCTCCCACAAGAGGAGCTGGGTAAGAACTTTATTCAAACGAGCACAAATGCACTGCAGCAACCCAGAACAGCAGAAAAAGGGAACAGACCACCTATATAACATCTTCCAACAAAATGGATATCCACACAACTTTATCAAAAAGTGCCCGACCACTCAACCTACTGGAACACAACCAACACAAGCTATGAAAAGAATAACACTGCCATACATCAGAAACATCTCAGAAACTACCAACAGACTATTACAACCACATGGCATCTCCGTAGCATATAAACCAACTAAAGCCCTCCAAAACATTTTAAACAAACCAAAAGACCCAGTAGCCCAAGAAGAAAAAACAGGAGTCATCTACAACATAC